TTCTCCGGGCGTCGGGACCGCTCTTTGTCCCCTTCGCAGCCCGGAGCTCCTGCGCCCCCATCGCCTCCCGGGTCCTCGGCCGGGAGGGGCACACGGACTGCCCTTCCACCCCGCCCCGGACTGTGCACCCCGGGAGGCCGGGGGCTCGGCAGCCGCGTCCCGAGGCGCGATCGGCACCCTCTTCCCCACCCCGGGGCGAGGGCGCCGTGAACTTGTCCCCGCCCGGAGGAGCGCTCTGAGACCCGCTTCCCCGCCCACGCGACCGCCGGTCCCGGGGATTCGAGGGACCGTCTGCGACCTCGAGGTGGAGACCGCCGGGGAGGGCGGAGGAAGGTCTTCCGCCGGGTGCCCCGGCCCAGCCGGCCACAGGAGCCCCACCCCGCCGGCAGCCAGGCGGGGCACCTGGGTCTTCCCGCAGCCCGTGAGTGTCTCTTTATTGTCGCGTCCCCCAAGCGCATTTACCGCGCTTCGGCCGCGAGCCGGGCGGGGGCGGGCGTCCCTCCCCCCCGACCCTCAGAGAGAGAAAACTCGCGCCCTCGATCGAGAGCGGCCACAGCCGGGAGCGCGCACCGCGCGACATCTGAAGTCCCGGCTCGCTGTTGCTCAGCCATTCCGGAGACGGTGGCGTGGCCGGCGCCTGCTCCCGGCCGAGCCCGTTCAGAACCCGGGGGGGCTCCGCAGGGACGACAGCCCAGGACGGCACCCTCGGGGGGGTGGGGGGGACTTTGCGCTCTGTGGGGAAGGGAGGAGAGAAGATAATAAACTAGATAGCCGAGTGCGCTGCAGAGCGCTGAGACGAGCTGCTATCACGGAAAGTGACCCGCGGCTCCTTTAGCTCCCGGGACGCGGGGCCTCTGAGGTGGGTGGAAGCTGAGAGCTGAGCTGGAGGACAAAGATAAGGAGGAGGACGCTCCAGGTGGGGCTGGAAGCCCTGGGGCTGGGAGAGGCGGAGAGGCTGTGGGTCAGACCCACCGTCTAAGGCAGCTGGGAAAGCAGGGGAGGGGGGGCTGCAGGAGGCTGCTGACCCAATTTGCCTTGCGAGAGCTCACTCTGGCCCATGTGTGGCAAGGGAGTGGGGGTGCTGGGAGGGGCGCACAAAAGGGTCCAGATTCAGGATGAGATTCCGTCCACACCCCTCAAGGTGGACCCCTCTGTGCATTCGAATTTGGGGGTCGGTGCCAAAGGAGCCCCAGGCGGGCCAGCTGGCCCACGGTGGAGGGACATCCTTCCTGCTGGCTCTGTGCCCCAGCCAGGCTGTGTTTGGGTTCAGAGGTCAAAGGGCTTCAGCTCACTCCTGGGGAGGTGTTGGGTCTTTTGTACCCCAAGAATCTAAACTAAATAGCTCCCTGGGGACTCCCCCAGAACAAAGCCTGTGCAGAAAGCTGCTCCTGATAGAATGGAGGGTGGGCCTTGGAAGCTGGCGCACTGGGGGCATCACCCAGCGTGAACACTGTGCCCGGCACCTCTGCATCTGTGCAGGAAGAGCAGGGAGGAGGCATCCATCCAGGAGGGCTGGTTTGCACCATCTGGGGGCTGTGGGTCCAAGAACCCCGAAGACAAGGTGCTGGGTGGAGGTGAGGCGACAGGTTTGCTGAGAGTCTGCCATACCCCACCAGGACTGGGCAGGCTCGGACAGGACATCAGGGCAGGAGGCTGACAGGTGCAGGGCGGCCTGGCCTGCAAAGAGGGCTTGCAGCCAGGGCCCTGAGCACCACAGCAGGCCCAGCAGCAGGTGCCACCCCTTACTGCCCACAGGCCCTGTGCCATAGCCAGAGGCTTTGTCCAGAGTCTCTGCTTTTCTAGCTCCTAGTCACCATAAGCTCTGCTTTGTGATGAAAACAGTACAGCTAAATCACGAGGCCCAGCTGGTGTCCAGCTTCTCTAGAAGCCCGTAAACGTGATTGCAGGCATTTTAAAAAGTGAAGATGCACCACCACGCCAGTTTTTGCCCAGAATCTTCCAGGCTGTGTATGTCCATTTAAAGCCAAACAAATGTTTTTGAAAACCGACAGGAACATAGTAGACAAAATATTCCAGAGCGCAGGGTCTCTAAGCCTGGGAAACAGTGATAAGAGACATTTTCCCTGAGGGAGGGGAGGGGCTCTCCCAGCCCCTCCTTGCCTGCAGCCAGGACAGGACAGGCTGGGGCACCACAGGATATGGAGGCCTGAGGCCCAGAGCCACCCGCTGGAGGTTTGCTGAGTGAGCACATGACCTGCCAGCCCTTCATCAAGTGTGCCTTCACCCGCTGGAAAAGGACTGGCCCAAGGTCACAGACACCCCTTGGGTCACAGAAACATAACCAGGTAAAGCATTCCCACACGCAGGTGCCACCCCGTGTCCTTAGTAAATGCAGCAAGTTGCTACGTTTTCCTAAGTGTAAGAGACGTAGGGACGACCCGGTGGCCTCCTGGAGGGCTTGATGCCAAGTCAAATCTCTTTCCTTTATTCGCTTTGATTTTTATTCTTTCTTGTTCGTAGTCTTCCCTTCTTTCCTACTGGCTTGAGTCTTGAGGCATGAATAGGAGCTTGCAGTGGTGCGGGGAAGAGGGTTGGGACATCCTGGGGGCAAGAACAGCGCTAGCCCAGGCCCAGAGGGGCAGCGGGGAGGTGTGTAGGTGCGGCCGAGACAGTCGTCCAGGACCACACCTGCACCTGGGTCCAGAGGTGACACCAAGGCTGTGGATACCTCGTGTCCCCCCCCAACTGGGCCACAAAGGCAGCCGGGCGTGGCCCTGGGCAGACACCAAATCCCTTTTGGGATAGGAACATCATGGAATAGGGGAGCCCCAGGAACACAGAGGTCGATGAGCAGGTATCGAGGCACCCACCTTGGGAGCGGGGGAGCTGGGCATGGAGGGAGCATTTGCCTGGACCTTGTCCCTCCTTCACATCCTGACCCAGGCAGGAGGACCAGGAGTCAGAGAGGCCAGGATGGCCGCCTGGAACCCCTGAAGCCAGGGGGCACAGGTGACTGGAGGCCCAGGGCATCTCACCTGCAGGCCAGAGGCTCAGGGCCCACCGAGGGCCATGGGAGCCACAGCGGGGCTTAGAGCCTGGCCAGACTTCCCTTTGATAAAGAGCCCATGTCAGGCAGGAGGGAAGAAGGGTCTCAGAGGGCCAGGGGTGCTGGGAGACCTCAAGGCCAGACCACCAGAGCGGCGCAAGGTCCCTTTATGGATGAATGAGGTGTAGGGTGCTGGTAGCTACCCCCTGTCCCTCCCTTCCCAGTCAGAGACCCTGACTTGCCCTGGCACCATTGCCCAAGGCACAGGGCAGAGGGGAGGCCCAGCCACGGGGCACTGAGGCAGGTGAGTCTTTGCAGGACCCGAGCTCACCTCAAGGTACTTGAAAGCTGATCCTCGCCGTAAAGTACCTCGTAAGCTAACAGGCAGCAGAGGGCCGCCGCCTCGGACACCCATGTGTGTGTGAGCATGTCCTGGGGGCAGGACTGTCCCGGGCCTACCCCAGGATGCACCTAGACACGGGTCCTGCTTAACCGGGTCACGCCAGACCACCATCCCGGGGGGTGCTCACGCCACACTGCTAGGGAACCCGGCATGCAGGACCCGGCCGCTCTGTGTCTCGGGAACCCCCAGAGCACCAGAGAAGCCTGGACCAACATCACACTCGAGGTGCCTGGTCTGTTGGGGCAGCTGAAGGCACAGCACAGCAGGTCTGCCCACTTGTGACTTATCTGCAATGTCGGTATTTATCAAATTGATGTTTTCACATGCGCCTGCCTGAGTCAGGCAGCTGGAGGGTAATTACAGGTTTGCTCCGGTCATGCTCCAGGCCCCAGACATGGGGTCTTTGAGCTGGGCTGCCTGTCCCTTGTCGCTGGGGCGGGAGGGACACCCAGCAGATGATGGGGTGTGCGTCAGCACCCTCCCACCCCCCGTGTGCTCCTTGAAAACAAAGCCAGGTTCTTCTCTGGGACCCTGGGGTGTTCTGTGAGTGTCTGTGGCTGCATCACACACTGCTGGCCCCACCCTGCCCAGCACCCATAGCCTCTGGGCACCCTGGGGGCTGGCTCTTGGGGAGTGGCCCTCAGCCCTTGGGCCTTAGGAGAGCATGCTGCCCTTCCAGGCCTGGCCTTCTGCGGGTATCTGAGATGGCCACTCTCCTCCCAGGCCTGAATATTTCATGCCCGAGGGTGGAATGAGAGTCGGCAGAGACCTTAATAGTTAATGCGGCTTCTGCAGGCTGCTGGCCCAGCCTGGCCACTGCTGCTGCTGCTTGATTCAGCACTGACAGTCATCCTCCCTGCTCCCGGCCCCCGCTGACCTTCTTTGTGCAAGGCTGGGCTCAAACCAAGTTGTCCCCGGGGCCCTAGATGAACCCACATCTGGCCAGAGAGAGAAGATGCGGAGTGACAAGCAGGCCATGCGGTCACTGCCCTGCCTGGGAGAGCCCGCGGCTGTCATGTTGGTTGAATGAATGAGTGATAAAGGAGGGAGCTGGGTTAAGTACAGCCCAGGATGAGGTGTCTCTGCCGGTATTTCCTGGTGGGCAGCCTTGGGCCTGTGCTCCCCCTCAGCGCCTCTGACCTACCTGGAAACGCCTGGCTTCATCCTTCTGCAGGGCTAGGGAGAGACTCAGACGCCCCGGAAGAGGCAGGTTGGAGCCCGAAGCCGCACCGTGAGCAGGAGAGCGCTGCTCTGCTGGGGTGGCCCGAGAGCCTGACACCCCAGGCCAGTCTCTTCTCTCCAGAACAGCGCAGCCTCCCGAACTTGAACTCAGCCCAGTGGCAGGACTGGCAGGGCCCGGCCTTGGGGCACCTAATCACGGGCAAAATGTGGGTGCTCAACAGAGCAGCTGGGGAAGACAAACGGAGCAGCAGGGCTGAGAGGCCCCAGGCGGAAGGAGGCTCTTGTCCGCTGGCGTCAGGCCGTGGAGGGGGCACCCCCAAGTAAGTCGGGGGGACGCACTCTCTCCCCAGGTGTCTAGATTTAGAGATCTTTCTCTAAGGTCATCCAGATGCCCCAAATAATCTGCAAATGTGCTCTGGATAGAGAAAGGAACTAGGGGTTCTGGAGCTCAATGAGATTGCACCTGGCCTCACTGCTTTCAAGTTTCAGAGAGGGGCCTCCTTGGTGGCCTGGGGTCGGTCTCAGGCTGTCACCGCAGCACCCTGAGTGTGATCCCCGCCAGGGAGTGACTCACAGGGTGTGGCAGACCCCCGGTCAGCAGTGGATCTGAGTGGACCCGCCTGTTCTGCTCCCCACTCTGTCTCGGTGAATCCTCTCACCCCCACCCCTCGTACCTCTGGTCTGCCCCCCAGTTCTACGCAAAAATAAAATAAAATCTTCGGGTGTTTCATTTAAGGAGGCCCTGCACACAGGCTGCGGTGCCTCGTAGCGGGAGGACCGGCTCTGAGTAACTCCGCGTCTTGGTGAGAGACTTGGGCAGGCCTCGCTCGGCCTTACACTTTCCCAGAACTGAGTTTATTCCACACTGATGCCCATCCCTCACGGGCCTCTGCCTCCACCCCCCACGTCCCGTCCAGCCTCTCTCCCTCCCCCGCTCTCTTCTCCTCTGGCAATCTCAGTCCAGTTATCAGTATCCGCTCATTTATTTTTATTTCACTTTGTCAGACCATCCACTCTGT